TGTCTCGCCTTGTTTTACTCACAATCAATATTTTACTACTTTTACTCTCTTCAGTACTTTCATGCAATTTTACCGTCATTGTACTATTCTTGTAGATGTTATAAATAAGTTTCGTATATCGATAATCGACTCTGCATTCTTGAAGTGCTTGCCAAACTGCCATCAACTCAATTTAAATAAAATTTTATAAATACCTCTAAATACCCATCTTGGATAAATACCCCCAGGTATATATCCAGGAAATTTACCCTTGAAAATAAATACCCGGGTATTTAACAACACTGCTTACAACAGATGCTTCAAACACAACGATCGGTGCCGTTCTTTCGCAAAACGTTAATAATCATCTCCAAAAAGCTTAATTCATCGCAACTAAATTATTCCATCTACGACAGGAAACTCCTAGCTATTTACTCCGCAATAAATCATTTTAAACATTTTCTCCATGGCAATCAATTCTTACTATTCTTACTAATCAATTCTTTTTTTTCAAAATCAGATAAAACACCACGTCAGACTCGTTATTTGCATTATATTACTCAGTTCACATCAAAAATCAACAAGACAAAGACATCAGCTACAACATTTATTACACAAAAATTCTTCTGGTTTTAAAAATCATAAATTCTCATTACTTGAAACTCCATTTTCTGATGAAAAAAATTTGGTGTGAAGTTTCAGCCAACAATCCCAGGATTTATGTTCCACAAAGTCTTGGAACTTCTATTTTTACAAAATTTCATAATATTTCGCATTCTGGAATTAGAACTACTCAACATCTCATAAAGTGTAAATATTTTTGGCCTCGAATGATTACCGATATTTACCACTGGACGAAAACCTGCCTACAATGCCAAAAAGCTAAAATCGACAAATATACCAAATCGCCCTTCCAGAAATTTTCGATACCTCTTTCTCCTACCTCTTCCTCTTTCTCCTTCTTCAGATTACACATACGTATTAACAGTAATAGAAAGATTTACTCGTTGGCCAAAAGCTTTTCCAATTCGTACTACTTCGGCAAACTCATGCCCTTTTCCGACAGACTCATGACAGAGGTAAACAGTTCGAATCCCAGATCTTTTCACAATTTACACAATTGCTTGGTTCACATCAGATCCATACTTCTGCTTATCATCCACAAAGTAATGGTAATACTTGAATGGTTCCACAGAACTCTCAAAACATCCATTGTCGCTAGTAAGAGTAATCAACAATAGAGTGAAGTTGAGTTTTTCTCTCAAAAAAGATCTTGGTTGTTCTTCGGCAGAGCTGGTATATGGGCAACTCTTGCGTCTGCCAGGAGAATTCATTGTAAAAACTCACACAATTTTGGAAACAGAACCATTATATATATATCAGCAATTCGAAAATTGCAAAATTCGAAAAAAATGACGATCATTTCAAAAATTTATTTCTCAAGAACTAAAAGTGATTTTGCAAAACGGCTTGTTGCATTAAAAAGAGGATACCTTAATTAATACTTGGTGATATTTCCACGAGGATCCTTAAAAAAATTAATTTTATAGCGAATTTTGAAAATTATCGATAAAAATTGCAACATCGAAAATTTTATCAAAACTTCAAATATTGTTTTCTCAAAAATTAAAAGTTATTTTTCAAAACGTCTTGGTTCATTGGAAAGAGGACACTTTTATTAACATTTTGGGATATTTTCATACTCGTATTCCAAGAAATCGATTTTATACGAATTTTTAAAACTTAATCGGCGAATATTGCAAAATTCGAAAAAAACTATTTCTCAAGAACCAAAAGTGATTTTGCAAAACGGCTTTTGCATTAAAAAGAGCATACTTTAATTAATAATCGAAAGTAATAACAGCGACAGTTCTGTTAGTAATGAATGTGATGATGAATTACATGCGAAGAGAAGAAAACTAGACCAAACTGCAACAACAGATTTTATACAGGGTGAGTCAGAAAGAATGGGAAATCCGAATACCGGAGATACTAGACACCAAAATATGATGATTTAACCTAACATCTCTTATAGAAATGTTAGTGGTTTTCGAGGCACAGTAACATTTGTTGTTTTGCTCAAACCAATTTTAATAATCTATCAGCACTTCGGGCTGCTGCTCCACAAAAAAAAAATAGCGTCAACGTAGAAGAAGAGATCCTGGTTCGAGTTGCAGAAAATCCATTATGCCCATTTTCTACAAAACAAATTACGCGAAAATGAATATTTTCTTGACAAGCATCTGTTCACTGATGAAGTTTACAAGACGGGGCATTCATATTTCTCATGCTCAAAAACATATAACTACCAAATTTTATGTTAATAGTACAAAAAGCTTCAAAATTATTAATTTAACTTTCAACACCCTGTGCCTTGAAAACCACCGACATTTGTATAAGAGATGTTAGGTTATATCGCCATATTTTGGTGTCTAGTGTCTCCGGTATTCGGATTTCCCATTCTTTCTGACTCACCCTGTATATCGTATTGGGATTGTTACAATGAGGTTGCTAATGATAAATAAAATTGGATTCAATGAAAAAAGTCCTATTGGGGTTGAACTTGATTATTATCTGCAGTGTTATTATTACACCTAAAAGAAATACTAATTCCTGTGAATGGTGGAGTACTAAGTAATAGGTTTTTAATATCCTGCTAAAGCCGGATAGTTGCCGAATATCCATTCCACCACTAGTTAATAGTATTGGACTGCATGTCAGTTTCTCGCCGTTTATAAGATTTCGGACTTTCGCAAACTTCAAGTTGCGAAATTTTGCATAGTGACCCAAATTAAGCTCCTGGGTTAGGTAATGACCATAGACGCCGTTGGTACACTGATTAGGTTTCGGAACGTTTGGAAGAGAAATTTTGAGATTAACCGAGGATAAATTACAGCAAACCATAAAGAATTGGAGATTACTAAGCAAATTCTAGAAAATGCTGATGAAAGATGTTATTTCGGGTTGTGAGTTTTGCAGCTGTCTTCTTTAAAGCTTAGCGTTCTGCCGAGAGATACACCTAATTGTTTTGAATGTCTATTGTGACTGAGAAGTTTGTCTTCCACGTACAAATCTTTAACAAGCTAAATTGCTGCATTTAGAACGACACCAACCCACTCAAAGATTACCAAATGGCAATGCACCCATAAAAGTTACTGTTTGATGGTGATTTTGGATGAGCGGCATTATTACTTCTTTGAAAACGAAGTTGGTAAGCTCAGCATCGTCAATGATGCAAATCAATAATAACTAATTGCTTTTGGCCCGAAACGAACGATATGTACGTGGACTACAATGAATTATGCATGAACGATCTGAAGGTTATCTCTCACGAAAGTGAGATCACTTAGATCTTGCGATTTGACCCCTTTAGACTTTTTCTTGTGGGGTTTCCTGGTCTCGCAGGCTAATAACACAACATATCATGAATACCCAAGTACATTGCTGCTCTGATTATCATCCACTAGAAGAACAATGAAAAATTAACTTTTAATTGATGTGGAATTTGTTCTGTCTAAAACTTTTCAAAGCATATTCTGAGCAGTTGCAGTGTGAAAAGAATATTATATTCCGATTCCACAAAATGTGTAGAATCCCTGACATATGATTCCGTGTTCTCTGTAAAAGGAGACAGAATTTTTGCAAGATATTTGGTTAACTGGTATGTTGGGGAGTTGATGGCACTGACGATACAGTGGAGGGTGACCTCTGGCTTATGAATCTTCGGTAGTCCATAAATTCTTGGTGGTACTGGCGTCTGCACAAACTTTTCTGCTGGAATTTCTGTGGATTTTATCAGGTCCTTCATTGTCCTTACGATTTTGTCTGTGGGGTCCTTCTTGATCTTCCTATAAATGGCTTGTTCTAGTAGCTTCATCATTTTGTCGTCATATTCTTTCTTGTCCATAACAACGGTGACATTCCCCTTGTCTGCTGGTAACGATGATTTCTGACTTTTCTTTAATAGATCGGATCTTTTCGCCAATCGTCAAGTTGGATTTCGGTGGTTTTACTGACTTCAGTACTTTCGCAACTTCTTGTCGAATCTCTTCGGCTTTTAGTGCCTCGAACAGCTGCTTCCACTTCGCAGATGATTTCCTCTTTTGGGGCGATTGCGTAGTTCAATCCTTTGATGAGTGGTTTCGTCTTTTGCTAGTGGGACACTCCAGGGAGTCAAACTTCTTGATGTTCGTGTCACGGGTCTTCTGGAATTCACGATCAGCCTTCTCCACTGTTACTCTGTCCACTTTATCCCAGTCTTCTCCAGACATACAATTGGAAAATGAGAGGTGGAGTCGTAATAACCTCTCACTTATTTTCTGTAGATCATTGAAAGTCTTGTTAGTAGTGCTAACAAGACACTACTACAACAAGTAGTGCTTGTTCTGTCCTAATCAAGATTCGACGTGCTGCAGCGGAGTCGATGTGGTGCTTCACCTTCAAGAAGGTTGTCGTTACTTTCTTCTCTCTGCATCTTCATAGAAAGAATATATTTAATCTTTTTGCTAAAAAAATAATGTGTATAATAATTTTCGTGAATCAAATTAATTTTGACTTTTTATAACAAAAAAAAATGGTGTTTAATTTACTGTAATTTTAACAGGAACTAAATGCTTGATAAATATACATTGTTTTGAAAATTCTAAATGTGTAGGAATGAATATTAAAATTCATCGTGGCGTAAAACTGAAAAGAAAATAATTGTAACAAGAAATGTGTTGGTCGTTGGGTCGCTGTGGGTTTATATTATAACAAAGGTAAATATGATATAAACTCGCCACTTGTTATGCCAAACCATCCCCAAGGCGTGACAGCTCGTTTATCCAAGGGACGACGAGCTTTTTATCTCTATTTTCTTAATACGTCCCGCCAAAATGGACCACATACGTTTCGCTTTCATGTAAGATTGCGTTAATGTGTCAACAGTCACAATAACAATGAAAATATGAAATCCTTTAAAATAATTATTTTTTGTTTTTACTTTTATTGCGTGCATTAACAAAAAAATTTCTTTGTTACAGTAACCATGCTTTCACATCTCTCACTTTGTTCGATACTTTTCTTCCTTCTCTCAACAATTTTCAACGCTGAATCGAAAGAGTCGTACGTAAGTGGAAGAAACGATGATCGTCAAATGGATAGTAGATCGTCAAGAGATTCCGATCGTAACATCCGCCGCGTTTTGGATAACAACAGCATCCGATTTGGAAGAAGAAGCGATTTACCACCTTTATTCAATCGTTATCAATACGACGACGACGAAGACGACGACATTCAAACAAGAACTCAAAGAGCTGGTTTAAATCACCTTCGTTTTGGAAAATCCGGAAATAATAATTTCTTACGATTCGGACGTAATCAAAATGACACATCCGGAGTTGATTCTAGAATTCAAAGAGGGGGTAATTCAAATTTCTTTCGATTTGGACGTCGTTTTAACGATAATCACATGAGATTTGGAAGAACCGATAATTACATGAGATTCGGGAGAGGTCAAAATTTTATGCGATTTGGAAGAACTTTAAGTACTAAAAGATCCGATAATAAACGACCTACCGATAACTTTATGAGATTTGGCAGAGATTATGAAGACGGCGACGAAAACGAAGAAGAAATCAAAAATGATTTAAGCGACGATTTACGTTTAGCCGCCTTCTTAAATGGAATCGCTTGTAAGACGGAAAATTCCAACGAAACACAGTAAAAAAGAATCAAATGCAAAAAATGAAACGTTTGATGACGCAAAATAATCGGATTTTTTTTCGTGGCTGGAAAAGTTCCGATTATTACTGTTTGAAAAAGTTTCCGTTATCGATGTATATTTTGTAACTCCGTGTATACTTTAAAATTTAAGCATAGTTATATGTGTTATAAAATGACGATAATAAAATATATTAAACGATGCCTAAAGCCGTGGTCTTAAAGTTTGGCTCAATTTTATTTATGCGTTTACTCAATAAAATCCTGGATTACAACCTAAATTGGTAATTTGTGACTCCCATAATGCATATTCATAACTAGTTGATAACACTTTAACGTAACAAATTATCGTTCTAATCTAAATTGTTATTTTACCACAAAATTTCTCATATCTATTAAAGTAAATCAATGTTGTATTTATACCTTGAAATATTTTGACTTTGAATTGAAAAGTATAAATATACCGAATAAACATTGTTTATTCAAATTGATATTTGATAGTTTAGAGCGAGAAAGGAACGATCCATTCGATATTGTGGCAACTTGTTTTATTTTACATCTAAAATTAACTCATTGAAACTTACAAAATGTGTAACGATGTATCTTTGCTTGCGGTTTATATATTTATGGAATTAAAAACATCAGCGTTGGTGTTACAAGTTTATTTAAATTAAATTAACTCAATTAATTACACGTTCTTAAATTTTTTTTCTTTCTTCACCTCTTTATTGTGTTCTTCTACATCAGCATTAATTTCTCCAAGAATAGTTTCAAAGGTGCTAAATGAGGTTGTGGATTTTTTTTTAGTTCCAGTTTTCTTTAATATGATGTTATGATAAAGTGTTGTATATAGTGATAATGAAAATGTTTGCCAGATAAATGTAACCCATTAACTGCCATGAATCTTATTTGGCGAAACTTGTATAAATGGCGAAAAACCAAACTTAAGGGAATAGTCGAGAATACGAAAGTTAATTTGCAAGAAAAAGTCTGAAATTGCAATAGTTATAAACTAGACTTCAGCAAAAAACAGAAATTACATTAAGAAAGTCCACATGAAGTCTGAAATTACTGTTCAGAGAAAGCAAAAAATTGATTATAAACCAAACATGATTTTTTATGGCAATACTTATGTGTTCAATAAAAGAATGCGAAGAATATGAACAAGAAACCAATGGACTTGTCTTGTTATTGCACAGGACAGGAAATCACCAATACGGAAACTTTGCCAATGCAGGATAAGCACAAAAGCAAAGTAACAGCTGCAGAAATGAGGTACCGGGTGGTACAAGATCCGTATAGATAATAAGAGGCTCCCAAAAAGATGATGATAGACACCCAGAAAGAAGTAGCTGTCAGTATCAAGAACAAAACATACATAACGTTGGCAGAAGACTAGATACTGCTTCTAAAAAACTAAATACTGCTTTCTGAAGACTAGATACTGCTCTGGAAGATTAAATACTGCTTTCTGAAGACTAGATACTGCCGACAGGTCTAAATACAGCATCTGGAACACTAAATACTGCTTTCTAAAGACTAAAATTGCTTTGTGGAGACTAAATACTGCTTTCTGAAGACTAGATACTGCTGACAGGTCTAAGTACTGCAAAAGAAAGATAAGATATTGTTGGAGAAAACATACATAACGTTGGCAGAAGACTAGATACTGCTTCTAGAAGACTAAATACTGCTTTCTGAAGACTAGATACTTCCGACAGGTCTAAATACAGCGTCTGGAACACTAAATACTGCTTTCTAAAGACTAAAATTGCTTTGTGGAGATTAAATACTGTTTTCTGAAGACTAGCTACTGCTGACAGGTCTAAATACTGCTAAAGAATGATAAGATATTGTTGGAGAAAACATTAAAAAGGCGGTGTCCGGGTGCAGTGCACCCCTTGCACCCCCCGGTAGCGCCGCCTCTGACTTACATTATTGACTAAGACTATTAATTCCACGAGAGTATTAACTCTTAAAGGTTTTGGCAAGGGTGAAGAAGCAAAGAACTCTCAAACATTAGAAAAGACTCTTTTAGTTAGACACAAAGAACTCAAACACCTTCCAAGTAAGACAACTTTCTTAATGCCACCTGAATAAGATTGAGACCTGATATCATTGCCTTCCAATATGTTCAACATATTTACATATTTTGAATATTTATTGCCATAAGGACGGGAACACCTGGTGACAAGATCTTCAAAATAAGGAATGATATTCAATTAGCATCCGCTCAGTTGACAAATACTCAAAATAAATTGCAATTTTCTGCTGTATCAATCCAAACATGTCTATGACTATCTCAAGAACAGGGATAGTAGCAATCAAACATGTCTATGACTATCTCAAGAACAGGGATAGTAGCAATCAAACATGTCTATGACTATCTCAAGAACAGGGATAGTAGCAATCAAACATGTCTATGACTATCTCAAGAACAGGGATAGTAGCAATCAAACATGTCTATGACTATCTCAAGAACAGGGATAGTAGCAATCAAACATGTCTATGACTATCTCAAGAACAGGGATAGTCGAAGTAGCAAAAGTTATGCCGATATACTTTGTGAAGACACTGAATAATTGTCTAATTAGGTCATCAAACAAGAAACAGAAACAGAACTGGCCAGAATGCCAAAATAAGGACGCCTTTAGCCTTATTATAAATAAACCTTGGTATCTACAAAGATCATTGCTCAGCCCTAGTTTAGTATAGAGTACACAACCATGTAGTTGTTTTCCGTTCTCTGCCTAGATTTATTGGAAATCCATATGTCGATTGTCAAAGAGATTAGAAAGACATTAAATTAGCTTGTGCTAATCAGAAATGTAAAGATATATAACTACGAACAGGAAATTTTGAATGCTTGGGGCAGATTACCTGACCGTTTTAGTAACATAAAAAATCTAGCGATGGCATTTTTAAAGTCCCTAGATTATCAAAGTACCGCAGTTCATGAACCCTGTGTATTCGAAATAATCGAGCCAAAATGGCGATTTGACAGCTTGTCAGTGCATGTTACCACTTATTTACAAAATAATGCCGTCTTGTTGCCTTTGGAGTTGCAAAAATAGCAGTAAGAAGGGTTTTCGACTCTTTAGAGTACCACGAGAAAAAAAAAGAAAGGAAATTTTGCGTAATTTTATCAACAGAACGATATAGTTTTAAATTTCACGCTTGACTTTCGAGCCAAAATAGCGGCAAACCGCGTTATTTTGATAATCTAGGGACTTTTATTATTTTGTTGCTCATTTTTATTTCTCGTTTTATAACATATTTTACCTAATTCCATTATGAAAATTAAATTTTACATGTCTTTCTGACGTTATGCAACGTCACTTTTTTTATAACTAGTGATGTAATGATTTTATTACATCACTACTATACTAGTAGTTCCATTATCTAACTACAAATTGATAAATTGACTGAAATTACTTTTTCAATGGGATTAGATAAAATATTGTACTTAATGGCTAATTTTATTTAAATCGCGTAATTTATATGTGACATGCCAGCATATTGTTTACTAAAAGTTTTGTAAATTTTGACACGTGCAGTTCAAAGGTTGCACTAACAGAAAAAAAAACATCTGTGGTAAAGACGCTGAATGTTACGAAATTAACCATGGAGGTATTTGCGAATGTCTACCAGAAACATTTAATTACAATCATCTAGAGCATTCGAACATTCATACAGTTAATTTAGTAATATGAAGAGACATTTTCCTGCTATGCCATAAAGGGAAGTGCAAATGGTTTCGGTGCTCAAGACACTTGACTCTCCGTGCTGCCAATGTTTAAAAAAAAACATGCAACAAATCGTAAAGATATGCAAAAAGTAAAACGTGGTGAATTTTATTACCGATTTGATTTTGATCATGAAATTTTCGCAGGGGCTAGATAAAAATGAAAGATAAAAAAGATAACATAATATAACAAAAACATACATTTTGAGTGATATTATTCAAATCTTCTAAAGCGATAGAAAATGCCACGCCAAGATTTGGTAGTTAATGGGTTAATAAAAAAATTGGAAGAAAGGTAAAAAAAAAAATTATATCCATCCAGTACGAATTTTTCCTGATAATTTTGATCTTCCAGATCCATAAGACATGAATCCAGTAGATGGAGCTAAAGTATCTTTTTTAACCTCATCTGGTTCTACTTTAATCTTAACTTTAACTTTTTCTTCCTTCTTTTCACTTTCCTTCTCCTCCCCCTTATCATTTTTATCACAACTTTCTTTTTCTACATCATCACCATTTTTCTTTTCATCTTTTTCTTCACAAACTTCTTTTTCCTCCGTAATTTCTTTCGACTCTTCGTTGTTATCATCGATTTTTTTCAATTCCTCTTGAACCTTTTCGGTCGAAATTAATTGAGGTGGTGATGGAGCAATTTTTTTAACAGAACCCGTTGAACTTTTTCTTCTAGGAACTTGAGGTGGTGTTTTTTGCTGTACTTCAGATACAACTTCAATTTTTTCGGATTCTTTTTCGTTTGATGGCGTTGGACTTGCAATTATCGGCGATAAAGTTCTTTTTTCACCGTTCTAAAATTAATTTAAAAATTAATTATTTTTTTTTGTTTTTTTATAGAGTACTTAGGTTGTGGTGCGTAGAGCAAAATTGTTTATACGAAATTCGACGAAACAGAACGTTACTCACTGGCGTTTTTAAGCTGTCAGCGGGTTCAGTCGGTACCTCCTTTTTGGCTTGAACAGGTTCAACAGTTGCTTCAGTTGATTCAGCACGATCTATTTTAAACGATAAGTTTTTAAGTGAAAAATAATGTCTGTTAAGGTAAGGTTTTTATAATTATACTTATTTCTTCCTCAGCTTTTTCATCTTGTTCTAATTTTTGTCTCATAAATTTCGCATATGCCACTCTAGCCCTCTTTGGAACTGCCGATAATCTCGGATTGTATTCTAAAAAAATGAATTAATTAGTTTTAATATTGATTTTTGTTTATCTCGGAGATAACATGAATGATACCCATAATATTTGTTTTTCTTACCCAATAATTTTTCGTCATCGATTGCTTTTGATGTGAGAATGTGTTTTCTTAGACTTTGCCTATTTCGTCTCGCGGCTTCCGCTTCGGAGGTTGATCCAATTGGATCTTGGACCAAAGTGCTTCTTCTAACTAAAGCGTTCCAATCTTTGCTACTTCTTCGTCTTCCCATTGCTCTAGCGAGTTGGCTGAAAACGTCTTTAGGCTCTTTCATGCTACTCACAACATCGGCTACGATTCCTTCAACGATTCCGATGTGGAAATCTTTTAAAAGGCGCCTTTCCATGACTCTTCCTTTTTTGCCCGTAACTAAAATCATTAATTTAATAAGAATTTGTTAATATGATTGTTATTAATTTGTTACAAGCTAGATCGTCTTTGTTTAATTTCGGGGTTATCATCCCATTTTGCCTCAAAATATCAATTAATTCGTATCGAAACGTGGAAACATCTTGCCGAACTTCCATTATATCATCTTCGGTCACGCCAAATTCGTCGCGTTTTCTTTGTTCAGCTGTGACATATCTTCTCACCAATAATTTCATAACGCACTCATGGGCTTCTCTCGCCCTCCCGCGCGATTTTCCAAGATTATCGTCTTTATTTCCACCACAAGTGATGCTTCTTTTCGCGTGTTTGATCGTTGGGAAAATGTTAAACGGAGGGGGTAATGTGTCACCATCATCAAAATAACTAATCCAAAGTCTCGTTCTTGCGAATTTCCATTCGCTGTCGGATCGTTCGGAGATGATTTGGTAGGAATTCGACATCATAGCGATTAACATATTTAAAAGAACGATTACGTTGATTACTGAGTAAGAGCCGAACATTAATAGAGCCCAAAATCGGGTGAAACCTTTTATTCCTGTTAATTCGAACGAAACGAGATCCACCAAACCAAAACTTGCCCAAAATAATGATTGCGAAGTTTCAAACAAGCTTAAAAAATCAAATAATATTATTAAAAAAATTTAAATGAATTAATTTACTTTGAATATCTTCTCCAAATCGTGCAAGCTTTATCGTTGTTATCAAAATCTGGGAGTCCACTTGGGAGGTGATAACATTTATTTTTTTCTAATTCCGAGTAATACCACAAAAGCTGATTTAAGCCTAATTTTAAAAAAGATTAATTAATCAAATTATGTTTTAATTTCAAAATTACATCAATAATTATTATGAACAGTACATCTATTCATGTAGATTAATTAATTAACGCTATAATCAAGATGTAATTGAGTTAAGTTTGAGGTTATTGGGTCAAAGTTAATTTTAACAAGACGCGAAACATTGGTTTTGAAATGAAATGGGGAAAAAAAGAAAATCTTGATTTAGAGTCCATGTGTAGATCATAAATCGATCGCCGATGTGGACTTTAAAATTCAACGTAAACAAAATTACACCCGTTTACATCCTCGGCAATAAAAAAGTATTGATTAATCATCTAAAAATTACTTACCGCATCCAAATGCGAACAAAACTAAAGTGTAGATAAAGAAGAATTTAACAATATCGATGATCATCCTTCCTAAAGAAATTTGTAAAGGTCCAAGGTGCGGATTGACGCTGAATATGTGGACGAGCTTCAAAAAGCTGTAAATTTTTTTTGATGTAAAAAAAAGTAAACAAGAGAACTACTTAGAAGTCGCCGGGGGAATTTAGCTCCGTGTCGTAACGATTTACGAGCTTTACGTGTTAGTGATGATGTATAAAAAACAACTTTTCGCTGACCAGCAAATTTTTATTACCTGAAAATCATTCCGGCTGCAAACGCTCCTTCCGATAATAACATAGGATCGAACATGTGCCATTGTTCTCTCGGGTAATAAGGATCTTTACCTTCAGAACCTTCCCTCTACAACAAAAAATATTTTCCACAAATCAAAAAAATCATTTCATTTAAAACAATCTCACCCAAACTATATAAATTGCTGAAAATCTCAAAAATAACCACATCACATAAAACATATTTGTAACGAAATCAACGATATTCCATAAATCCGAAATGTACTCCATTAAACCCCCATCCCATAAACTTTTTACTTCCGCCCAAATCAAACTAATAACATACAGAATTACCCCGCATTCTGCAAATCCGGGTAAAGCACCCCTTTCTTTCCGGTTCCATTCCTTAACGATTTCTTTAATGTAATCGTTTCCCAAAATGTTTAAAAGCTCGATTTCAAGACGTTGAGAAGCGGCACCGAGTAACACTAAAAATTATTTATAATCACATCTTTTTAATATTAATTGAAGTGAATTTCATTTAAGATGCAATATACAAAAGTATATTTCTATAGAAACCAGGGCAAAATTTGTCGCACATAAAATGCAACATGTCTGAATGTTTCTATTAAATAATTAAACTATGTTTAACGACGAAGCAATTTTATTTATTTTCAGTGCTACATATGTTTCAGCAATTTCTTTCCTTCTTCAGGCACGAGAAGAAACATATGTATTCTGAAACATATGTAGTACTGAAAATAAATTAAATTGCTTCATCATTAAACATAATGTAATTGTTTAATAAAATTTGCGATGAACATCTACTATATGAAAGTTTCTAGTGCAAGGTCTAGTCTTAGTCTTAGTGACAGTGCAAGTGTAAAATTACGACTGGTATGAACGGTAAGATTAGGTAAATTAACGCATTATAAACAGATATATATGTTCAGATATAAAAAAAAGAAGCAGATAAAGACATCAAGTAACGGCTAAGTACAGATTAGTTAATCGTACGTCTGTAATTGATTTTATCCATAATTTTATGAAATAGTTCAAGTTTGTACGAGTTACACTCCTATCAGTTGCCGAGAGAAATCCAGTAAAGCTATTGTAAATTCTATGCGCATGACAAATAAAAATTTTTTCTGTGTGCGCTTTAAAATGCTTAATAGGTCTTGCCAGACTATCAGAAACATTTCTAGTAGAGTAAGTGTGCCTCGGAAATTCCAGTAGTGGTGGATTGCTGATAATAAATTTAGCAATTTCGATTGTATAAAGTTGCCTAATATTAAAAACCTCAGTGAGTTCAAACAGCGCGTCTGATGGGAAGTCGCGCGGTTTATATGTCATAATTTTTAAAATAGATCTCTGGACAACCTCAACGGTAGTAATAAGATTAGTCGAGGTATCTCCCCAAGCTAAGATACCGTATATCAACAAAGATTGGACTAAGGCGTAATAAACCACTTTAAGAGAACTAATCGGTAGAATTTCACGCAGTTTCTTGAAAACATAGAATAGTTTTCGCAATCTGACACACAAGTTACTTATATGATCCCCCTAACGAACGCACTGATCAATCATGACACCAAGGTACTTGGTTGACCTGACCCGGTTTATTTTATTTGAGCAAATACATGCTTCTGGTTGGCATTTATCTGAGTGAAATGTTATTTCATTTATATTTGGTAAGTTAGCAGAATACGAAGAGAATGTAATGAAATGAGACTTCTTAATGTTAAGTGATAATTTATTTCTATTTAACCAAGCTTTTATTATTTGTAAATCGGATGAGGTTTGTTCAATCACACACTCCCATGATTCGCCCTCAACAAAGAGAACTGTGTCATCAGCATATGCAATCACCTCTGCATTAAGATGAATATCAAATATATCATTTATGTAAACTAGGAAGAGTAGAGGTCCCAGGACGGTTGTAGTTTTAATTGTTATGCAGCGATAGACCAAGAATTAGAATCACTCGCGTTTAGCCGTCTTAACAGACGTCCGGCTAAACCTAAATGTTTCTAGTCTAGATCTAATGTCAGTTCTAGTTTTACACTAAAATCTTACTATGTAGAACTAACATTATACCTAGAACTAGAATCATTTGGGTTTAGCCGCACGTCTCTAAAGACGGCTAAACCCAAATGATTCTAGTTCTAAGTATAGTGCTAGTTCTAGTTTTAATTGTTATATTGTGGTATATTTTTATTGAACGAAAAGTAAAACTAACACTATTTAGACCTAGAATTAGAAACATTCGGATTTCATGTCACCTTTTTCCAACCAAACTTTTCCTTTGCAAACCTACCCAATGCCTATACTAGTGGTGGAACGGATATCCGGCAACTATTCGGTATCCGCCTTATCCGGCAATTTAATAATCAAGTTCAACCTTAATAGGACTTTTTTCATTGAATATAACTTTATTTATATCAGGTTTGTCATTAGCAACCTCATTGTAACAATCCCAATACGATATATAAAATCTCTTGTTGCAGTTTCGTCTAGTTTTTTCCTCTTCACTAGTAGTTCATCATCACATTCATTACTAACAGAACTGTCGCTGTTATCACTTTAGATTATTAATTAAAGTACCCATTTTTAATGCAACAAGCCGTTTTAAAAAATCACTTTTAGTTCTTGACAAATAGATTTTTGAAATGATCGAAAATTTTGCAATTTTCGCCGATTAAGTTTTAAAAATTCGTATAAAATCCAGTTCTTGGAATATAAGTATGAAAATTTCCCAAAGTGTTAATAAGAGTGTCTTCTTTCCAATGAACAAACCCGTTTTGGAAAATAGCTTTTAGTTTTTGAGAAAACAATATTTTTAATTTGATAAAATTTTCGATGTTGCAATTTTTATCCATAATTTTCAAAATTCGCTATAAAATTAATTTCCTGAAGGATCCTTGTGGAAATATCACCAATTATTAATTAAAGTATCCTCTTTTTAATGCAACAAGCCGTTTTAAAAAATCACTTGTAGTTCGTATCTTATTATGANATAAAATCTGTTGTTGCAGTTTCGTCTTGTTTTCTTCTCTTCGCTTGTAATTCATCATCACATTCATTACTAACAGAACTGTCGCTGTTATCACTTTAGATTATTAATTAAAGTACCCATTTTTAATGCAACAAGCCGTTTTAAAAAATCACTTTTAGTTCTTGACAAATAGATTTTTGAAATGATCGAAAATTTTGCAATTTTCGCCGATTAAGTTTTAAAAATTCGTATATAATCCCGTTCTTGGAATATAAGTATGAAAATTTCCCAAAGTGTTAATAAGAGTGTCTTCTTTCCAATGAACAAACCCGTTTTGGAAAATAGCTTTTAGTTTTTGAGAAAACAATATTTTTAATTTGATAAAATTTTCGATGTTGCAATTTTTATCCATAATTTTCAAAATTCGCTATAAAATTAATTTCCTGAAGGATCCTTGTGGAAATATCACCAATTATTAATTAAAGTATCCTCTTTTTAATGCAACAAGCCGTTTTGAAAAATCACTTTTAGTTCTTGAGAAATAAATTTTTGAAAT